CAGTTCAGGTCCTGTCGGTAATCGCTGCTAGAGATTCTGTCGAGTCAGCTGCCTCCTGTGCCTTGGCTTACCTGAAACCTCCCAGGCCTGTAGGAGGGGACACCGAGGGTGCAGGTAGAGACCACAGCACCACTTGCCCTCAGCAGCTGAACTGGTCACGTGGTCCTCGTTTAGGGGAGTGGGATGGGTGAAGCTCACAAAGCTACCTCTTTACCTCGCTGGGCTGTCTTCCCCAGGGAGGCCCCGTTGTTGGCCTTGGCCTGCGGCCAGATAGACGTTTGCATCCCCAGAACGTAGGTCGTCACGTTCTTTGCTTTACATTGTTGCTGGTCCTTCCCACAGAGCTGTGGGGCTGGTGCTAACTCCCAGGCAGGAGGGAGCTTTTGTGAAAAAGTCCATGTTTTTATTGCTCACCAATGCAGAGGGTCATCACAGTAAACATGAAAGACACGTTTTGACTTGAGCTCCAGGGATTCTGGTAGCAGAAGGTATGACAGAGTGTCCTGCACATTAGAACCTGTGGCAGATGCTGTGTTAGGTCTTGACCTCTTGCAAAACAGTAAATGGTGCTGGGGACAGGCAGGAGCCCCCAGGGTCCTGGACCAGGTGCATGGCAGGTATAGATTCTTCTAGAGAACTTGGAGAGACCAACTGCTATGTCTGGTAGCGTCTTAAACCCGAGACTCCATCCCCAGCCCCCATGGGGCTCTAGGATTTTTTTTTTTTTTAAGATTTTATTTATTTATTTGAGAGAGAGCATGAGAGGGAAGAGGGTCAGCGGAGAAGCAGACTCCCTGCTGAGCAGGGAGCCCGATGTGGGACTCGATCCCGGGACTCCAGGATCATGACCTGAGCCGAAGGCAGTTGCCTAACCGAGCCACCCAGGCGCCCTGGGCTCTAGGATTTTGATCTGTTAAGAAAGCACGTGGGAAGGACAGGGACCAACCACATTGGTACTGAAGGCTCAGCCCAGCCCAGCAGACCGGAGACATTGTGTGGGCAAACGGGGTTTTGGGGGGCTGGCAAGGACCCATTGAGAGGAGGAGGCCGCCGGGCAGACTTACTCTGAGATGATTCTTCTACCCACATGATGGCTTGGGAGAGTACTAGGATTTAGTGTCAATTTGTGAGAAGATACGTTAATGCTAAGACAAGTAGAAGTCGCAGCCCCCCCTCCTGCCTCCACTGTGAGGGCTGTATTTGTAAATGAGTGTGCTGGTAACATTCCTCAGTGTGTCTGCTCTGGGCAGTGAGGGTCGGCCCTGACCCTGCAGTTGTGGCCTCAGCTTCTGGATTCCCAGCGGTAACAGCAGTGGTACCATGATTGAGCCCGGTGGTACTGGCTGGTTTTCCCACAGGAAACATTAAAATGCTCTCTCCATTTGTTTGTAACTGTCCTCCGTTTTTCCCAAGTGCCCTGGGACTGCCAAGCCCCAGGTTTTAGCCATGCACGTAGCGTGTTCACCTTCTTGGGAACTCTACCTCTGTGCCTCCTTCCTTCTGGGGGCGGGGGCTTCCACCTTGCAAGGAAGGCTTGCATTTCTGACCTTCTTTGTTCTGCCCCCTCCCCCTGAATCTCTGCCTTGGCTGGGTATAGAATTACAGGTGGAAAGTACTGCTGTGTCACTTCCATAAAGCACTGTGACCCTTGGTGTCCTCAGAGTGCATCTGTTTCGGTGTTTGTAACCCAGGTTCCCTCAGTCTGGAGGGTTCTGTTCTGAGCTGGAGCATTGAAGAATTTCTGCCCCATAATTTTTTGTGTTTGTTTTTTTGGAGTTTCTGTCCATCAGATTTTAATTATGTTCAAGAATTTCTATCCTCCCCACCCCAAAGACTTTGGAGCAATTTCTGGCTCCGCAGAATTGAGGGGAAGGAACGGGAGCTCCTATAGGCACGTAGCCGCCCTCAGGGCAGCATCCCCAGCAGCTCATGGACCCGCACTGACGCTGCATCAGTCGGAGCCCCTCCTTTCCATGGTGTGCGTGCTGTGGGCTCGGGCGGGTGTGGAAAGATGCGTGCCCGTGCCCACAGGGTCACACAGAGTGATGGTTTCACGGCCCTGGAGCCCCGCTGGGCCCCCCCCCCGAGTCCCCCAGCACCCACCGAGGGGCTCTGTCTCCACGGTCCCGCCTTCTCCAGAACGCCGCCGTCCACTTGGAAGCACACGGCGAGTAGCCTCCTCGGATGGGCTTCTTCCGCCGCGTCTTCTCGTGGTGGGAGCTCGCTTCTTCCCAGCGCTGACCCCTGTTTGTCGTCTGGGGGGACCGCAGTCTATGTAGTCTCTCTCCTACATAGGAGCCTGGGGGCTTCCGACTTGTGGCAGTTGTGGGTAAACAGGATTTGGTGCAGACGTAGCTTCGGCTCCTGTGGGGTGTAAGAGAGGATTTCGTTTTGTGAGAAGCCGCCGGGCCGTGTCCAGCGCGGCGTCCCGTCTGTGATCCCGCCAGCCGGGCGTGGGAGCTCCTGTTGCCCCACGTCCTCACCAGCTGGTAGTGTTGTGGGTTCTTGCCTTTCTAACAGGTGCATAGTGAGCAGCTCGTATGGTTTGTGTTTCTCTTGAGATCTTCTCATGTGCTCATTTGCCGTCTGTAGATCTTTCTCAGGGAGGTGTCTGGTCTTTGGCCCATTTTACAGTTCTTTTTTCTTTTTTTTTTTTTTTTTAGAGGAGTGGGAGGGGCAGAGAGGGAGGGAGAGAGATAATCTTCACAGCCTCCATACCCAGATGCCCAGCTCCGAGCTCAGTCCCGTAACTGAGATCCAAGACCCGAGCTGAAACCCAGAGTCGGATGCTTAACTGACGGAGCCAGCCAGACATCGCTTCCCCCCATTTTACAATTCTTGAATACAATTGAAATTTGCTTGTCAGAGTTTCAAGTGGCCTTTTGGATATTTCTTAGATGACAGCCCTTAATCTCGCACATATTTTCTTGCAGTCTGGTTTATCTTCTCATTCTCTTGACGTGGTCTTGCCCAGATTGGAAGTTTGCAGCTCTGATGAAGTCCAGCGCATCACTTGTTTCTTCCATGGGTCATGCCTCTGGTGTCGTATCTAAAGAGACATCGTCACACCCAAGACGGATGTGAACCTTTGAAATTGCTCCTCACCTTTCTTTTTTACCCATCCTGTGTGTTGTGTGTGTGTTACTCTGGTTGTCAGCGGCCATGAGCCTGTCCTTGTTCTGTGGGCACCAGATCCCCCCCTTGTTACCTGGGGCTGTGTGTAGCTTGGGGGTTGTTTTTTCCCTTTAAATAGTCTTCTGTCTTCCTCCCTGTTGGTGATTTTTTATTTTTTTTTAAAGATTTTATTTATCCATTTTGACAGAGACACAGCGAGAGAGGGAACACAAGCAGGGGGAGTGGGACCACGACCCAAGCCGAAGGCAGACGCCCAATGACTAAGCCACCCAGGCGCCCCTGTTGGTGACTTTTTAAAGGGAGCTAGGGCACAGATGTTCTAGGTCCTCCAGATACCAGCAGCCACACCGTCCCACCTGGATGCAGGTGGCAGAGCCCCAGTTCCCTTGCTCTAGAAGGGTCCCTTCCCTGCAGAGCTGAGGAAGAACATGAGGTCCGACTCCACCCACACTTGCGTTGGCTTCCAGAACTCATCGCCCCTTTTTCCTTTTTGTCTTTGTGGGTCGGGCATCTCTTCATTAGTGACTTGGCAGAACTGACATTGAAAGTGTGTGTTCCCCAGAGAATTTTTCATCCTCTGATGTATGATGAAAATCGGCTGTCTGCACAAAAAGGAAATGTTATAGTAAGGATTATTTTACATTTTAATTTTTTGAATAGGTAATACTGCTCAGAACCAAAAGAATAAAAACGTGTCAAAGATGCACTGAAGCAGGGCGCCCAGCTGGCTCAGTCGGTGGAGCGTGCAACTCTTGATCTGAGGGTTGTGAGTTCGGGCCCCATGTTGGGCGTAGAGATGACTTAAGATCTTTAACGACATCCTGAAACAAGTGCCCTGAAGCCAGTATGAAGGCCTCGGTTGGGCATGCCTGGGGCTGCTGGAGCATCAAAGCCACCAAGTAAAACAGGAGTGCCACGCCTTGTCCATACCTGGGGACAGTGCTGACTGACCGCTGTCAGAATGACCAGGCAGACAGTGACCTGGCCAGGGTGTGTTGGCTGCTGAAACCAGAGGGGGTGGGAGTGTGTGTGTGCTCACTGGTAATGAGAGCCAAAGCAGTGGAGACCTGGTGACACCACCAGAGCCTGTCCTCAGAGGTGAAGTGGGGTGGGCCTGCGTCTTGTCCATGCTCCAAAGCCTAGGGAGCTCCTGACCACTCCCCAGGGACAGGTGTGCGGGCAGCGGGGCTCCCTCCCGGGCTCAGGAGCGCTCGGTCTGTGCCTGCCTGGAACACGCTGCTGGGGACACAGACCAGCTTCTTTGCCTGAAGGTTGCCCCACACCCTGCTGCTTGGCTTTTGCTCGGTACTGAAAACCCAGATTCCTGGGCAGTCTGCATTTGGGAAAGGGACCAGTTCTCCCAAGTCCCTGTTTGGAAAGGAAACTTGGAAGAATGAAAATACTCCTGTGCCCTGGGGGGTGGGAGGCAGGGAGCTGTGGATGGCACATGGCTCCCCCTGTGGCCATGGTCCCCTGACTTGGGCCCGGGTGGGTGTCTGCTCTGAACGAGGGGACCCTGTGCGGCCTAGGGGCTGCCCCCTCGCTGGGGTGGAAGTGCCCACCTCATGGGCACCCCCTCGGACTTCATGGCTGGTGTGCTGCCCAAGGGCCCCGGTGAGGTCTGGCTCCAGGTCCTGCCTAGGGGGTGAGTGCTAAGCTCTCAGCACATCGGTGAAGGTCGGTCTGGCCTGTGTCACTGGTGGGATGGGTGTTCCTAGAGACCTTGCATTCATGCAAAGCCACGGCTGTCGGGTGCTCAGCATTCCATCCGCACGGGTCACGTGTCATACATCATAGCCAGGGCAGGTCGAGCGGACGTGGGCATCACTTCCTTAGGTGACCGCAACCCCCGGCTCTAGTCACCCCTGTCCTGAGATTCCCGGACGCTCCTTCTAAGGGCAAGACTCCGTTTCTGCTGCGTGGGAACCAGGTTTCATCTGTTTTTCTGCCCTGTGAGCTCTCAGGAGTCAGGCCTGTCCATCCACCGGAGCTGGAGGGAGGGCCCCAAGCTGCTGCTGCGCTGCTGGCCCTGGCAGCCTAGGCAGAGACTTGGGGACTGCTGTCTCTACAGGTTTCTCTGGCCAGTGTTGCTCCCACCCGTCTACAGCATGGGAAATATCTTCGCAAACCTCTTCAAGGGCCTTTTTGGCAAAAAAGAAATGCGCATTCTCATGGTGGGCCTGGATGCTGCGGGGAAGACCACCATCCTGTACAAACTGAAGCTGGGTGAGATCGTGACCACCATTCCCACCATAGGTGAGGAGCGTGGGCTGCAGGGGTGGGCCGGGGGTCGGAGGGGGCTCTGGGCAAGGCTCACCTGGGTCGCGCTGTCCCAGGCTTCAACGTGGAGACCGTGGAGTACAAGAACATCAGCTTCACCGTGTGGGACGTGGGCGGCCAGGACAAGATCCGACCTCTGTGGCGTCACTACTTCCAGAATACACAAGGTGAGCGGAGGGGCGGTGGCCCGCGGCAGAGGTCGGGGAGCCCTCGACACCTGTCCTAATGCCCGTGGCTCCGCAGGTCTCATCTTCGTGGTGGACAGCAACGACAGAGAGCGTGTGAACGAGGCCCGTGAGGAGCTCATGAGGATGCTGGCGGAGGACGAGCTCAGGGATGCTGTCCTGCTGGTGTTCGCCAACAAGCAGGTACACGGGATCCAGCCGCCCGGTGCTGGCGGTCGGCGGGCGGGGGGCGCGGGGGCCACAGGTGGGCACGGGTGGTCCTTACAGTGTGCTGACCTGAGGCCGCCGGGCCTGTCCCACCAGGACCTCCCCAACGCCATGAACGCGGCTGAGATCACGGACAAGCTGGGTCTGCACTCCCTGCGCCACAGGAACTGGTACATTCAGGCCACCTGTGCCACCAGCGGGGACGGGCTGTATGAGGGACTGGACTGGCTGTCCAATCAGCTCCGGAACCAGAAGTGAGCCGCGCCCCCCCTTCCCCCTCCTTCCACCCTGCTTTACTCTCATGTGGTGTGAGTGCCAGAAGCTGTCTCCATGGTCGGTCACAGTGTGCTTCACCATGCTGTAAATGTGCAGACGCAGCCTGCAGCCGGGTTTTTATTTAATGTAAATAGTTTTTGTTTCCAACGAGGCAGTTTCTGGTACTCCTATGCAATATTACTCAGCTTTTTTTATTGTAAAAAGAGAATCAATCCACTGTTCAATACTGAGAAGGGATGTTAGGCACGCGGGGCCTCCGGGAGTCGCTGTGTCCAACCAGCCTGGCGCGCCTCCTCTGGGCCTTAGATCTGTGTTGAGATCCATTTTGGTGGTTGGTTTTTAACCTGAACTCAGTGCATTTTTAAAATCGTTGCAAACACAAGATAAGGAGAACACGTGAACACACAGAAGGGAGAAGCGTGCCGAGTGTCGGTTCTGCAGCGGCGGCCAGGGTCTAGTCCACCAGTGGTCCGTTTCCCGTCGGGAACATGAGACGGGGCAGAACCAGCCACGGTCCATTCTGCATGGTCACGATAGGGCCCCTGTGACTCGCTCAGTCGCGGGTCATCCCACATCCCCTTTGTGCTTGTACTTGTGCTCACACGGCCGCCCAGGAGACAGGCCGGGGGCTGCGGCCACCGCTCACAGACCCCTCGGAGGGACCCCGGCCTTCCCTTGGGTCCGCGTGGGCGCGCTGGCCTGCTCCGGGCTGCCTGGGGTCTCACCAGCAGGAGTGCGGGCGGGCGGGCCAGTCCCCCTAGAGCCTCAGCCCCCGGAGCCCCTGTCTACATGTGCTTTCACTCCCTCAGCCTGCAAGGGTCGGATTTGCCATCGAAACGACGATCTCTACTGTTTTCTTTTGTATTTTGATAAACACTGAAGAAGCTGGAGCTGTTAAACTTTATCTTGGGGAAATCCTCAGAACTGGTTTATTTGGTGTCGTGGAACCTCTTACTGCTTTCAATACACGATTAGTAATCAACTGTTTTGTATACTCGTTTTCAGTTTTCATTTCGACAAACAAGCACTGTAATTATAGCTACTAGAATAAAATCTCTTAACTATTTCACGGCTTTCCAGTGCTTGGGTGCCAGCGACCCACGGTTTGCCTCTGGGCACGGAAGGCCCCCGCCTAGGGGCCTGGACCATGCGGCTAGCAGGTGTGGCTGTGGCCCAGTGCCCCGTCTGGGTCCATCCTGGCAGGGCCAGCTTCAGGGTTCCCCGCACGCACCCGCCGCAGTGCACGCATGCGCACACGCACGCACCCAGCCGGCCAACGCCCGAGCAGCAGGAACCCCCTGGCCAAGCTCCGTGTCGTGCCACAGGCCCCTTCCTGCCCCTTGGAGGCCAGCCCCCCAGCCCTGTATGGCTGTTGGGCAGCTGGAGATGCCCGGCAGAGGCCTCGCTCACCTCCACTAACAGGATGAAAAACCAGGATCGGAGTTGAGAAGACAGAATCGTCTTCGTAATTAGGTATCCAGCCTGGGCTTTGTTCTCACTGCAGTTGGTGAGAAGACGTCAGTGTGCTGGCTCGGTGCACATCTCCCTGCAGAAGCGGAGGGAGGCCGGGTGGGAGGAGCTGTGCCCCCACCCCACCCTACCCCACCCTACCCCGAAGCAGAAGGGACTCAGCAGGCAGGTCCTCAGGGGGCACGGGGGGAGGGGGGCACCGCAGGGACAAGTCTGTGCCCCCTGTGCTCTGGGAAAGTCCCCCTCCCAACAGTCTCGCGGTTGTACTGGAACACGTGGCCACCACCCTCCCTGGAGTATGAAATAACTTGCCCTTTAAAATAAGTTTATTTAAGTACAAAGAGAAAAATAGCGGCTGTGCGGGGCCTTCCCAGGTCAGTGCGTCTTCCCCGGGGCGGGGCGGGCCCTGCAGGTGGGACGCCCTCTGGGAGCTGCCGTAGGGGCCAGTGTCAGTCACTGTGGTGTGGGCGCTGCCTCTTGGAGCAGGACCAAGAGTCGCCGTCCGAGTCCGAGCCGTGCCTGCGGTGCCCGGATCTGGGGAGACCAGGGACACGACGTCCGTGGGAGGCTGCCCTGCCCCACCCCCCAGGCCACCCACGGCAGAGGCACACCTACCCCGCAGAGGCGGGGGGCAACGGCGAGGTCCCCCTGCTCCGGTGTGCCTTGTCTTTCTTCTTCTCTTTCTTGTGCTTCTTCTTCTTCTTCTTCTTCTTCTCTTTCCTGCTCTTCCTGTGGCTCTCGGGGCTGTGGGACAGGGTCTCCCCATGTACCGACCCCACGTGCCCATGGTCGGCACGTACAGCCTGCCTTCCGCTTCCAGACCTCCGGCCAGCTTGCCGCGAGCGGGCGACCCCTGCACCCCATCTGCTCCAGGCTGCCAGAAGCGGGGGGGGGGGAGGGTTCCCCAGCAGGCAGGCGGGGCGGGGAGGCCCAGGCCGGGGCGGGGGGGGGGCAGCCCTTACCCGGACTCCGCCTTCTCCTCCGACCGAGGCTTCTTCCTGGCCGAGGCAGTGGAGGGGCCCGGCCGACCGCTCTCCACGCTCTCCACCCGATGGTGCTGCGGGGGGAAGGCACGCTGAGCTGGGCTGGGCTGGCTGGGCGCGCCCCGGGACGCCCGCGGGAAGGGCCAGGAAGCCGGGAAAACACACTGGGGGCCCGGCGTGGGCGTGCTAAGGGCAGTTACCGTGAACACCGACAGCCCCAGCTTGGCGGCCTCCTTGTCTTCTCGGGATAAGGCCACTCGGCCTGCGGAGCCGCTGCGGGAAGGCGGGTGAGAAGCCCCACGATGAGAACGCCCCGGCCGCCTCCCTTGCCGAGTGCCGCTGCCACGCGCGGTACGGGCACCACCCACCGCGTCGCCACGCACCTGGAGCTCCCCAGGCCCAGCAGCCGGTCCACTCCCTTCTCCTCGTGGTCCCCTCCTTCCCGCTTACACACCTCCACGAAGTCCTGTGCGGAAGGCACGCGGGCGCTCGCAGCCGCTCCACCCCCGCCTCGCCCTCGCCGCCCCCCGGAAGGGCCCCCTCACCTCCTTGCTCAGGCCGGTGGGCTGCTTCCTCACGTTCTTGTAGCCTCTGCGGGGGCCGCGTGCGCGCTTCAGGGAGCGGCCGTCCTGGCCCGGGCCCCCGCCCCTTCGTCCCCTCCGCGCCCCCCACCCAGCGCGCCCCCGACCCCGCGGGGCGCACTCACAGCGCCGCCATGAGCGCCTCCTGCTCCGCCTGCCGCACGGCCGCCAGCTCCTCTTCCCGGCTCAGGCCCGCGCCATCCGCCCGGCCCTTGGCGTACCAGGTGAGGTCGCGGCCCTTCTGCCAGCGGCCCACCGGGGCCATCAGCGAGTTGCCTGCGGGGGTGCAGCGCCCGGCGCTCGGCCCGCGAGGTCGGCCGACTCCCGCGTCCGCCCGGACCCCGCACCCGCGATACCCCGCACCCCCGTTCTCCGCACCTGCGATTCCCCACACCCCAGGACCCCGCAGCTCCCGCGCCCCCGTTCCCCGCACCCGCGGATCTCCCGTGCCCCCGCTCTCCACACCTGCGATACCCCGTACCCCGGGACCCCGCATCTCCCGGGACCCCGCATCTCCCGGGACCCCGCATCTCCCGCGCCCCCGTTCCCCGCACCTGCGATACCCCGCACCCCCGGACCCCGCAGCTCCCGCGCCCCCGTTCCCCGCACCTGCGATACTCCGCACCCCCGGCTTCCGCAGCTGTCGCGCCCCCGTTCCCCACACCCGCGGATCTCCCGCGTCCCCGTTCCCCACACCTGCGATACCCCGCACCCCAGGACCCCGCAGCTGTCGCGCCCCCGTTCCCCGCACCTGCGGCTCCCGAAACTCCTAGTTCCCCGTACCCGTGGCCCCGGCGCCCCCGTTCTCCGCATCTGCGACTCCAGCGTCCTCTCATTCCCCGCACCTGGGATACCCTGCTCCCGCGTCCCCTCGTTCCGTGCACCCGCAGCTCCCCCGTCCCCATTGTCCGCACCTGCTATAGCCAGCACCCGCGACCCCCTCGCCCCTCGTTCCCCACCCCCCGACGCGCGGGCCCGGCGCCGCGCTGACCCAGGTAGTTCTCTCTCTGTTTGTCGGTCTTCACGTCCTCCCAGTTAAACTGGTCCTGCCCGCCGCGCACGCCGCCCCGGCTGGAGCCGAACATGGTGCCAGGCCGTCCGCCACCCCCCCCGGCCTTCCGAAGCCCTGGCCTCGCCGCCCCGGGCGGCGCCGGCGCCGGCACCCGCTCCCGCGTCGCGCACCTTGACGTCACCCCCGCGCAGGCCCGGCAAAGCCTCGCGCGCCTGCGCACTGCTCCCTAACCGCCGCGCGCCCCTACGCCCCGCCCCATCGGCGCGCCTGCGCACTGCCCGGGGTGGGGGGAAGGCGTGGGCGTCGGCTGAGGCGGGACCTGAGCGTCCGGCCGGCACGACATCTGTCGTTAGAAGCCACTTTGTGTGGGTGACGCCGGGGTGCAGGGGCAGGGCCCCGAAGTCGCGCTGCGCGTGTGCCAGGGCTGTGCTGGGAGAGGGGAGGCTCCCGGCCAGTCCCGGGAGCGGCCGGCGGCGGCGGGGCCCCGTCGTGCCCTCGGTCGTCTTGGAGCCTCGGCTTCCCCGCGTGTGGTCCCTGGGTCTGGGCTGGCCCGCGGGGGCTCCAGCGTGGGAGGGCAGGGGGCAGCCACGGGCGCGCCCCTCCTCTGCAGAGCTGGGGAAGACCGCCAGTGTCGCCCCTCCCGCAGGAGCGTGCGGGCATGGCGCCCTGGGGCGCGGCCGTGGTGGGCAAAGCAGGGTCAGCTCAGAGCTTGCTGCCCCTCCCGCCATCAGCCCCCCCCCACGGGCCTGGACACCGGGAGGCATCAGCATAGACAGCGTCTGAAGTCCCCCAAATGGGTGGGGGAGAGGTCTTGCGGAGGCGGGGCTTGGGGTCCATGGACAGGAGGTCTCAGGGACCTGGAAGGGCCGAGCGCAGATGGGCTCCTCCGCTAGACCAGACCGCCCAGACTCCCAGAGCTCTGCAGACAGGCCGTGGGCCTCCGGTCCCTCTTGGCATCACCCAGTTATGGCCAGAATCCTCCCTCAGACCCCCACCCTCAGCAGGGCTGCAGGTTCCTATGCAGAGCTGGGGGGGTTGCCAGGCCTGCTTTCAGCAACAACCCCACTGCGTGGCTTCTGCCAGAGCCCCACTATGTGGATGAATTTCCTACCACCAGCACCCACCCTGCCTTGTGGCTGCCAATCCCCACGTGTCCGTGCTGTGCCCCATCTGTGCCCTGCTGCTAGACCCCTGCATCTGTGGCCGTGACCCCCCTTCGAGGAAACCACAAGCGTGAGGACTAACTTGGTTCTGAAGAGCAAGTGCGTCTCCCCCAACGAGCTGGTGGCCGTGTGCTCGGCGGACCATCGGGGCCTGCGAGCCCAGCATGCGTCCCCGGGAACGACAGACACAGCCCCCTCCCTCTCTCCTCGGTCACCGCGGTAGTGCAGGGCCTCCGGTTTCCGAGAGACAGCCTGACAGCCAGGGCCCCGCCATCAACAGGACACCCAGCAGCCCCAGGCCCTTGCAAAGGTGGGGTACACCTGACTCGGCTTCCCGGACACCCTGCCCCTCCCACCCAGCCCCGCGGCTGCTGTGCCCGGCCAGCAGAGCCCCCAGTGCCCAGAGGCTGAAGGCGGGACAGGGGTGAGGGGGCTCCAGGGCCCTTCCTCCTCCCACACTGCAGCTCGCGTGCCCTTCAGGCCCTGTGCCAACACCACGGCCCCAGCCAATTCCGGGCCACCCGGTTGGCTTGGTCACCAGAAGGAAAGGCCACATGGAGACGGCTTTGTGGACACACCATTTAAAGACACACCCTCCCCGCCCAGGGCAGCTTCCGGGCAGGTCACTTTTTTGTCCAAAACCGCTTGTACTGCTCCTCGTCAAAGTCGTCACTGAGCTCTGGCTTCTCCTCCTTTTTCTTTCCGAGCTGGGTCTCGCGTTTTCGGAGCCGCGTCCGCCTCTCCTCCGGGGACAGGGTGTCCAGGTCCACGGGCATCTGCGGGGAGGAGCATGACCACCGTTTGCTCAGAGGGCCCGGGGCCTTGTCCATGTCCCTTCACCTCGTTCTCCACCAAGCAGTTGAGGGTGTTTACCTTCTGCTGGGTTTTCTCTCCCGTCAAAGCTTGCAATCCTTAAGCAAACTTTTCTGCTTGTTTCCCCAGCACTGACGCCTGTTCGACACACGGCTGCTGTCCGGTCCTGCCCCGCGGAGGGGACTCCACCCTTCCTTCCCCTCTCCTCATTCCACAGTTCATGGCTCGCCCTCCCTCCCCCTTCGAGCCGCACAGCTGCGGAGCCCATAAGCCCTGGGAGGAGCGGCTGTTAGGGGCCAGCCCGCCAAGACCTGTACCGCAGAGAGCGCAGGGAGGGGCATACCTCCAGCATTCGTCGTGGTTCCCGATAGCGGATGTGGATGGTGGAGCCGTCCTGCTTGACCAGGAGCACGGGGTAGAGGCGTGCGTAGGTCTGTCGGTGCACACGCGTGAGCGAGGCTCTGCTGCTGTCAGCCTGCCGGGAGGACGTGTGCAGGCCTCGGCGCGCCAGAGCAGACCCTGTCAGCATGTGCCGCTGCAGCAGGCTGCAGACACACACACACTCCGATCAGTGGCTGCTGCTGGCCCACGCCATCCAGCTCCTACGGGGCACGCACCCCGAGTGGGGCATGGTCCCCAGCTCCCGCCACATGGAGGAGACCACTGGGCCAAGTGCAGGAGGCTTTCAGACGAGTGAAGGCAGAGTCAGCAGCTGGGACCCCAGTGGGCTCAGGGTGCTGTCGCTGCACAGCTCAGGAGCTGCACAGCTCAGGAACCAGACGCACGAGCGTCAGGCACGGAACAGACTTCCAGGGGAACCTGCACCTAGTCCTAGGGCCGGGACCTCTGTCTCCCCCAGAATCACACATCGAAGCCCAACCTCCATGGCATGACATCAGGCACGGGGCCGGTAGAAGGTGAGTAGGATTACGTGAGGTCTGAGGGCCCCCGTGGTGGGACTGGTGCCCTTCTAAGAGCCAGAGAGCAGAACTCCACTGTGAAGCCTCAGAGCCAGGAAGACAAGCCTCAGCACAACCCTAGTCTGCCGGCACCCTGAGCTCAGACTTGCAGCCTCCAGAACCCTGGAAAGGAGGCCGCCCGGCCGGTGGCACTCAGTTAGAGCAGCTTGAACAGACCAAGACACCTGCAGTCCACCTGGCTTCTGAGCGTGGCAGACACCTGGCCTTCCTGCACACAGCAGGGCATGTGCACTGAGGTGATGGGAGGAGAGAGGAAGCCCTGTGTGTGCCATCTACTGGGCCGCATGACCCCCAGTGTCCCTTCGAGCCCGGCTCTCATGCAAACTTGGATTCAGACCCCAGGCTGTCTCACGGCAGAATTCCAGAACTCCCCAGAGCTGTGTGACTTGCCTGGTGCTCTTTCAAGCACCCCCCATGTGCCTTTGCCACTATGCGAGCAGCAGCATCCAGCCCAAACCATCCCCATGGCCTCCCACCTGGTCCCCACTTTGGCTCCAGTCACATCCCCAAGCTCTCAGGACCTCTCCGCCCACAAGGCAGCCTGGCTGAGTGGTCTGCAACAGCACAACCCCAGCCCAGCAGTACCTGCCTTGGGGGGGTGTTCCCACCACGCCCTGTACTTCCCAGCAGCCCCTCAGGCCGAGTGAGGGTGTGTCTCCTCCACTAGACCTTACTGTCCTAGTGGCAAGAACACATCCTGTTTGCTGGGAAGTCCCAGAGCCTTAACTGGGCCCTCAGTCAATCTTGACAAAAGACCCTAGTTCCCACTGTTAGGGTCACGGAGATGGCACAGAGGAGACAGGTGGTAAACTCCGGCACCAGGGAAGCCTGCAGTCAGGCAGGCAGGGGAGCAGCGGCGCCAGGGAGCTCGGGACACAGCCACCCCTGAGAACCGTGGGTTGTCAGATTGGGGCTGGAAGTGAACCCTGAGAGTGGATGTTCCCTCACCGTTACAGCAGTTGTAACATGAACTTTCTTAGGATAAGGGCCCTACAGGGAACACTGCAGCCAGAGTCCCTTGCCTAGTTTCACACTGACCCACAGATTCAGGTGCCCCATCCCTCTCCCCCAGATTCCACAGAACCCACTAGAAGCCTGCTCTCTTTACTTCTCTGGAAATGCTGCCATCGCACCATACTTCTCATCTCGGGGAGGCCGGGGTGAGGGGAAAGGCAGGAAGGGGGCAGTTCCAGGGAGAAGAGCCGGAAGGCATGGCCTTCTCCAAGGACCCAGAGCCAGACTGGGCTGCAGGATCTGAACAGGAACGTCCCACCACCACGTGTTTGGTGTTAAGTACTCACAAACCGCTTACATTCCTCCCTCAACACCTGCCACAGCGTCCATCCGTCCATCCGCACCTGCTCCTACCTCCTTCCTCCCTGACACCTGCCACAGCGTCCATCCGTCCATCCGCACCTGCTCGTACCTCCTTCCTCCCTGACACCTGCCGCAGCGTCCATCCGTCCATCCGCACCTGTTTGTACCTCCTTCCTCCCTGACACCTGCCACAGCGTCCATCCATCCATCCGCACCTGCTCCTCCCTGACACCTGCCACAGCATCCATCCATCCATCCGCACCTGCTCCTACCTCCTTCCTCCCTGACACCTGCCACAGCATCCATCCGTCCATCCGCACCCGCTCGTACCTCCTTCCTGACACCTGCCACAGCGACCATCCGTCCATCCGCACCTGTTCGTACCTCCTTCCTCCCTGACACCTGCCACAGCGTCCATCCATCCATCCGCACTTGCTCCTACCTCCTTCCTCCCTGACACCTGCCACAGCGTCCATCCATCCATCCACACCTGCTCGTACCTCCTTCCTCCCTGACACCTGCCACAGCGTCCATCCATCCATCCGCACTTGCTCCTACCTCCTTCCTCCCTGACACCTGCCACAGCGTCCATCCATCCATCCACACCTGCTCGTACCTCCTTCCTCCCTGAAACCTGCCACAGCGTCCATCCGTCCATCCGCACCTGCTCGTACCTCCTTCCTCCGACACCTGCCACAGCGTCCATCCATCCATCCACACTTGCTCCTACCTCCTTTCTCCCTGACACCTGCCACAGCGTCCATCCATCCATCCGCACCTGCTCGTACCTCCTTCCTCCCTGAAACCTGCCACAGCGTCCATCCGTCCATCCGCACCTGCTCGTACCTCCTTCCTCCCTGACACCTGCCACAGCGTCCATCCGTCCATCCGCACCTGCTCCTACCTGACACCTGCCACAGCGTCCATCCATCCATCCGCACCTGCTCCTCCCTGACACCTGCCACAGCGTCCATCCGTCCATCCGCACCTGCTCCTACCTCCTTTCTCCCTGACACCTGCCACAGCGTCCATCCGTCCATCCGCACCTGTTCGTACCTCCTTCCTCCCTGAAACCTGCCACAGCATTCATCCGTCCATCCGCACCTGCTCGTACCTCCTTCCTCCCTGACACCTGCCACAGCGTCCATCCGTCCATCCGCACCTGCTCGTACCTCCTTCCTGACACCTGCCACAGCGTCCATCCATCCATCTGCACCTGTTCGTACCTCCTTCCTCCCTGAAACCTGCCACAGCGTCCATCCATCCATCCGCACCTGCTCCTACCTCCTTCCTCCCTGACACCTGCCACAGCATCCATCCGTCCATCTGCACTTGCTCCTACCTCCTTCCTCCCTGACACCTGCCACAGTGTCCATCCATCCATTCGCACCTGCTCCTACCTCCTTCCTCCCTGACACCTGCCACAGCGACCATCCGTCCATCCGCACCTGCTCGTACCTGTTCTCCAGAAAAATACACTGGCTAGGAAGGCTCCCCTTAGATGGCCCATGACAGCAGTCCCCAGGGGCTGGGAAGCCCCTGCTTACCCAAGCAGCCTGCCCATCGTGGCCATTCCTCCTGAGGGCCCCTGTGCCACGTGGAGGCTCGGGGTCAGCCACTGGCCTGGTGTGCGACCTGCCGGGGAAGAAAATAAAACTTCTTTTCAAAAGACAGGGTTTTCCACCTAAATGACCTTCACCGAACCCTAGGCAGAAAGAAGCCACAGACCCAAGTGCGTCTCCAACAGGGGAGTTGCCACCAGGTTTCCGCCAGTCCCTCCTGGTACCCTGTCAGGCTGTCGGCCCCGACGTGGCGTCGGAGTCGTCTGCGGAAGGGTTCTGAGTGCCGGACGCCCAAGCCTCTGCGTCAGTGTCAGTAAGCCTGCGGCCGGGCCAGACCCTTTCTAGCGGGTTCCGGAGTCCGGGAAGCCGCTCTAGGACGCAGTGTAACGTACACGGTGGGGGCTTCCCAAGGTCACCTACTTCCCACAACGTACAGCGGTGTCCGGATGGCAGGAGAGCCGAGACTCGGGGCTACCGCTACTAAGCGCTGAGAACCCGGAAAGCGTCTGCGCTGAGGTCTGCGCCGCGACGAGCCGGGACGCTCAAAGCCGAACGCCTGCCTGAGACGTCGGACATTCGGAGCCCAGGAAGAGAGCCCTCCCCGCCAGCGTCCCCCGTCTGCGTGGGCAGGGGGTCCGCAGGCCTCCCTCCGCCTCCAGAAGCGATCCGGCGGGGAAACGAGAGGCTGGGAGACAAGCAAGCGGATGCGCCCCATCCTGTCGCCCTCGAGGGTCGGCGGCTGGCGGCGGGGCCCGGCCCACCCATCGGGGACGCCGCGCCTTCCGGCACCCACCTGCCCCCCTGCCTGAGCTCCGGAGCAACGTGGAGTGCCAGCGTCCCGGCCGCCCCCGGCCAGACGGGAGCGGAAGGGACCGGGGCCGAGCACACGGTCACAGCCAACCCAGCGCCCCGTCCTCCAGGGGCACGGCCGCAACGTCATCGGCAAGGGCTGCGTCGCGCGGCACTGACGACAGCCTGAGGGGCGGGGCGAGGCCGGCGCCGTGCTATGGCGCGCACCTCTTCGGACCGAGGCCGGCCGGCGCGGCTCCATGACGTACTTCTCCGCGGGCGGGGTCAGGCGCGGCGCTGTGACGTAGCCCCGCGGGCGGCGGCGGCGGCGGCGGCGGCGGCGCCGCCCCTGATGCTGCGACGCCCGCTGGCCGGGCTGGCGGCGGCCGCCTTGGGCCGGGTCCCCTCGGACGGTGAGTGGCGGAGCCTCCCGGCGGGCGGAGGTCATAGCTCCCGGCCTGGGTCTCGCGTGGCGCGATCGTTGAACCGGGGTCGTGCCCCTCGCGGCCCCGGTGTTCCCGGAGCGCCGTCCGGGGCCTGGCCGGCGGGGTGGCTGATCGCGGGAGCGGCGCCGTGCGCCCTCACGTGGACAGGGCCGCTCTGAGTGCGTGTGCGTGTCTGCGGTGCTCGCGCTTCTTGCTTAGGCGAATTACAAGCCGCTTCCCTGTGCTGGTCCTCGAGATGCAGGAGGGGCTTCTACCGGCACACGGGCCCGCGCGGCCGGAAGACTGCGCGCTGGATGCCCTTGTGGGGCCTGCGGGGTTGCGGAGGGGCAGAGAAGGGAAGCAGCCCGACAGCGCTCCCCCAGGGGGGCCGCGCGCACCGCCGGGAGCTCCGGGAGATGCGAGGCCCCTGCACGCGTGCGGTGCCTTCCCTGAGCTCACGGAGGGAAGCAGAGACGAGAGCAGGGAAACCGTCCTGCTGGTGCAGCTCTTGGGTCGCTTCAGTCCCCACCCGGAGGGCAGGCGGTCCTCCGAGCTTTCCCCGCCCCGAGGGCCCCCCTCCCGTCCCCGGAGTGGTTGCAGGGTCCTGCAGGGGCGGAGCTGGTCCTCCGAGCTCTCCCCGCCCCGAGGGCCCCCCTCCCGTCCCTGGGGTGGTTGCGGGGTCCTGCAGGGGCGGAGCTGGTCCTCGGAGCTCTGCCGCCCCGAGGGCCCCCCTCCCGTCCCCGGGATGACCGCGGGGTCCTGCAGGGGCCAAGCTGGTCCTCCGAGCTTTCCCCGCCCCAAGGAGTCCCCTCCCGTCCCCGAGATGACCGCGGGGTCCTGCAGGGGCCGAGCTGGTCCTCCGAGCTCTCCCCGGCCCAAGGAGTCCCCTCCCGTCCCCGAGATGACCGCGGAGTCCTGCAGGGGTGGAGCTGGTTCTCCCAGCTCTCCCCGCCCCAAGGGTCCCTGTCCCCGAGATGACCGCGGGGTCCTGCAGGGGCCGAGCTGGTCCTCCGAGCTCTCCCTGCCCCAAGGAGTCCCCTCCCGTCCCCGGGATGACTGCGGGGTCCTGCAGGTGTGGAGCTGGTCCTCCGAGCTCTCCCCGCCCTGAGGGTCCCCATCTTCCCGGGATGACTGCGGGGTCCTGGCCTGCCCCACCGACCAGCGCTACCAGGTGGTACAGATACAAGTTTCGGCCAACAGCAGGGTGTGGGTGGCCCTCCTTTCTGGCTTGTGGGTGTCCTTGGTGGAGCTGAGCTTTTCAGGACCAGAAATGTGAGTCTGGGCTGCCGGACGTTGGCCGTCTGATGTAACTGGACGTTGTTTTGAGAACAGTGAGAGGGAGCGCACTTCATTCATCCAGGTGCCAGTGCCACCTCACCCGCTGTCACTGGTCCTCGTCGGGGACGAAGGTGGGCCCCTTGTGGCCAGCATGGGGCCCACGGGGATGGGAGGAGAGAGGCGGAGGTCCTCCAGTGCCCTGTGAGGGCTCCTGGGCAGCATGCCTCCCCAGCGTGGACTTTGCCGGAGTCTTGTGTCACACAGACCCCGCCCAGCCCCCGACGGGTCAGGAGGGACCCAGCAGGGCTCTGGGATGCCTGTGGTTTCCTCTGCCCCCCAGCTGAACAGCCACTCACCGCTGCACACAGCAGGCCCCCTCGCACCCCAGGTCGCTGCCAGGCCTGGTACAGGTGATCCTCGCGTTGACCACGCCCTCGCTCTTTGGCTGGAGCCGTGGCATGGACAGTTCACGGACCCGGAATTCTGGGAGTTCCGGGGGTGAACACACACCATCTGTTTGTTTTTGACCACACCCAAATTTTGGTTTTTAGTCTCAACTGTTACTTTCTGGTTTCTGCCGTTTTGGGTGTAGCTGAGAAACCCGTGCTTGAAGAGAAGCGGGAAGGGAGGGCGCGCGTTATGGTGTGATTGGGGTGGAAGTGCATGACCCCTGTGTCCAGGAGGAAAGGTGCAGTCGAGAGGGTGAGCTACTGGGAGCGCTGGTGTGAGGGCGGACGCCTCTGGACTCTGGCTCCAGGTCCCTCCCTGGCCCTGCCTGTGCCGGGCCTCAGTTCCCCATGTGAGAGCAAGGGTGGCCCCCCTGGGAGGGCCTGGGTTTCTTCCTGCCCCGGAGCTCTTCTGCCCCTGGCCTGCCCACCCCTGCTGGAGTCGTCCACAGTCTCAGAGGGCCCGGCTTCCTGTCAGGGAAGGACGAGCCCTGCACCACTGGGGAGGGGAAGTGAGAAGGCGTCCGCTGTTTTGTGGGTGTCCCACTTCCAGCCAGGCTCCTGACAGGGCGCGTAGCTAGGACATGTCCCCCACACACCTGTTTGGGGGCGGGCATGACCAGCTTCTTTGGCCCAGGTCCAGCTGTCGTGTGTTAGGAGAGGGCCCGCTTGCGTATTGCCGGGGCTTGGAGGCCTGGAGCTCCAGCCCACGTGGGGTGTGCTCCTGTCGAAGGTGGGTTTGGTCAGGACTCTGCCACTGTGGCCACTGGACGCAAGACCAGGCTGCCCTGGTATGGTCTGTGTGTGCCTCCGTTTGTGTCTGGCTGAGCCAGCCTTGGGCTCTGTGGGCACCACTCGAGGGAGGACTCAGTGCCCTTGGCGGGCCCAACATGGCCGAACCCCACACCTGCAAGATGATGCCAGGCGGCTGTTCCCTACCCCACCTTATCAGTGTGGTAGGCCTCGAGCACTGGGGCGGTCTGTAGCCTGTGGGAGAAGGCAGGCAGGGCGAGGCATTGGCTCAGCGCCCGGTGGGGATCCTAAGCACATACCTGCTACTCACTGGGGCGCTCCGGGTGGGTGGTGGGCCTGGGAGGGCGGGGCTCTGGACGTTTGGGCGGGAAGCAGAGGGTCAGACCTTTGTGGCCCGCCCCGCGCCAGACGGTGTCGGGCACTGGGACTTCCGTGTGCGGTGTGCGGCCCTCACTGGAGACGTGTGTTTCCTGGTGGGCTTGCCGTCTCCATGTGTCGGAGCTGATGGAGGTCTGGCCCTGCCCACAGGCTTGGGCGCAGGCAGGAACCGCTGGGGAGTTGACAGTTGGAGGCTCTAGGGCGCCCACGGCCCCGGGACACAGGTGCCTCTTCACGCAGTCCTTGCTGGGGAAGCCTAGGTCCTTCTGTCCCTGGAGGCGGGCGCTCCAAGTTGGGCCCCGAGGTTCCAGCCACATCTGCTGGATTGAGGGTCTGTGCTGTGAACACCACCCGGGCAGGCCTCCTGGTCGTCTCCCTGACCATCGCCACATACCCACCCCGGGCTGCCCCTGCCCAGAGGAACTCGAGCCCCTGCAAGGTCCCAGCCCTGGGGCAGGAGGGATGCGTGTGGCTGGGCACGCGGTGGACCGACCTCAGCCCCCTCTCTGCTGTCCTGCAGCCCGCCCCCCTCCACCCCTGCTCCGCTGTCCCCGTGCCAGCACCTGGGAAGTCAGGGTGATCCTGCCAGGCAAGGACCCGTGGCTGTGGGCAGGGAAGCCAGGACACCGCTGCTGGTAGGAGGATGTGTCCTTGAACCGGACACTTGGCAGAGGGGTCGTGGGAGGTGACGCTCCGCGCGTGGTGCCCGGCCTCTCTCGTGTGTCTTCGGCAGGGGTCGCCTCCTGCTTGCAGTCCTTCCAGGGCGTGTACGGATGGCGTGCCGGCCTCAGAATAGCCGTGCTTGAGCCAGATTACCGTGTTGGCCTACATCGAGGATTAGGAGAGCAAGTGGCCCCAGGCCGGGACCCAGGGCAGCCCCGGGGAGTCTGCCGGCCCACTGGGGGCCCCCATATGGAGCCCTGCAGGGGCCAGCCCCAGGAGGGAGCAGCCGTGGCTGGCCGCACACCCTCCCAGGTCTCCCTCTGCCCCCACTGTCGGTTCTGGTCCTCCTCACGTGGGACGCCCCGTGGCTGGGTGGTGGCAGGGCGAGGAGCAGCCTTTGCCCCGTGTCCCCGACAGCAGGCTCGGGAGGGATTTAGTGCTCAGGAGGCGGGGGGCAGGAAGGGGTGAGCTCCAGCTCTTGCAGAGCAACCCCGGGCTGATCACAGAGCTGCACCCTGCCGGGAGGTGGGGCATGGGGGCGAGCTGGGGGTGGTCGGGTGGGTGCGAGCTGGCAGGGCTGGGGTCCTCTGGAGGGCCCTCTGCTCCTGGGGGCAGCTGTCCGAGCCCTGTGCTGCAGGCCGGCCACTTGCCGGCTTCCCGGGGCCCGGCGAGCAGAGGGCTGAGCGTGCTGTGGTCCCGTGGTGTCAGCCCCACGTCCCGACGGCCTTGGGAGATCAGCCTCGGGTCCCGCATGGAGCCAGGAGCTGCAGTCCAGGGCTGGACAGCGGGGAGCCACACGGTGCGGCCGGAGAGGATTCTGGTCCAGGACAGCCAGCTGTGCCCGGGCACGGCCTCGCTGACGTCTATCTCCCTCGCCCGCAGGGATGTCAGGACCAAGGCCGGTCGTCCTGAGTGGACCGTCAGGGGCCGGGAAGAGCACCCTGCTGAAGAGACTCTTGCAGGAGCATGGCAGCGTCTTCGGCTTCAGCGTGTCCCGTGAGGCCCAGGCTGCGGTGGGGGTGCGGCGGGGGGTTTCAGCCATGCAGGGGTGGGGCCAGGCCCTGCTGACCCACATACCCACACACACAGGGGACGGTCCCCACGCTGCTGACCCTGACCTGCAGCCCCCCCACACACACACGGGGGACGGTCCCCACGCCGCTGACCCTGACCTGCAGCCCCCCCCACACACACACACACGGGGGACAGTCCCCACGCCGCTGACCCTGACCTGCAGCACACAGGGGCAGAGCCTGGCCCTGCGGGGGAGGCGTGGGTGGGGAGTGGGGTCGGGTGTCCCAGGTCGATCCTAGGCACTTGTTCCTAGACACCACAAGGGACCCGCGGCCTGGGGAAGAGAATGGCAAAGGTGAGCGGGGCCTCGGCATCTGCGTGCCCGTCTGCAGGGTGGACACGGGTGAGGTCACCGCAGGGCATCTCTCTGGACCCATGCGAGCGTGTGTGATTGACCCCAGGCTTCCTCTGTAGTGTCCACGGGATCAGCCCCCGTAGCCTCCCCCTGGAAGCCCCTGGTTTTCTGGCTCTCACGGCAGGGATGGTGTGAGAAAGTGCCGTCCGTACGTGTGTCCCCCACCTGTTGGTGGGGCCGACAGGTCCACGGGGAAGCGGACCCTGGCCACGCTTGGTCCCTGACCGCCCTGGGGCTTGGGCCGTGGGCACGCCTCAGATAGGCCTCCTTGCAGATTACTACTTTGTGACGAGGGAGGTGATGCAGCGGGACATCGCCGCGGGCGACTTCATCGAGCACGCCGAGTTCTCAGGGAACCTGTATGGGACTAGGTGGGCCACCCTGGGCACCTCTCCTCCCTCCCAGGGGCTCCCCCTTTGGCTTGACCTAGGCAGGGGGTCTTGTGTGGGTTTTCCAAGATCCCACCATCCCAGGGGTAGAGACGGGGCAGCAGTTGGGGCCCTCCGGGCTGCCTCCTCCCGGCCACCTGTGTGCCCCTGGCCAGGCCTCTGTGGGAACCGCAGGTCCCCGGGGACGGTGCACCGCGAGGACTTGGGGAATCCGGGTCCCCTAGGTGCACAGGCTGTACTGTGGCCTGCCTTCCCGCAGCCCCTGGGCGGGCGTGAGAGTGCCCCCCGGTCCACAGGGTCTCTGCCCACTCCTCCTACCTGGCTGGCAGGCCCTGCGCAGCGTCGTGGGCAGGCGGGCCCAGGCATGCCTCCGTGTGCAGCCTGTCCCTGAGCCGCCTGGCAAGGGTGAAGCAGCGACCCCACTGGACTTGTCTTGCTGCACCCTAGGCTCTAGGTACAGCTGGGCGGGAGGGGGGGCCCCAAAGGGGTCACTGGGGCTGTTGGGCAGGCGAGTGACTGCCAGGGCCCTTGTGCCACTAACCACAGCCGCCCTCGGCCCAGCACGCAGATGCTGCAGAAGGGGAGGAGAAGCTGGGGTCTGGGTACGTTCCTGTGGGCACTGTGGCCAGGCTCATGCCCAGTGCAGGCCAGTGGGGGAGGCAGGAGCCCAGGGCATGGGCAGCGATGGTCCTGCAGAGGCCCTTTGAGGCCTTGGGGGGGCTGCTGGACCCAGACAGCCCCGCTGAGCGGTTCCTGCCCCTCTGTCCTCCAGCAAAGCTGCTGTGCGGGCAGTGCAGGCCATGAACCGCATCTGCGTGCTGGACGTGGACCTGCAGGGTGTGCGGAACATCAAGAAGACGGACCTGCGGCCCATCTACATCTTCGTGCAGCCACCCTCGCTGGACGTGCTGGTGGGGGCGCCAGCCCAAAGCTGGAGGGCCAGGGCAGGGGTGCAGCCGCCCTCACTGCGTGCTAGTGGGGGCGCTGGGCCGAAGCTGCGGGGGAGGCTGGGGGCAGGGGTGCAGCCACCCTTGCTGGACGTGCTGGTGGGGGCGCTGGGCCGAAGCTGGGGGGTGCTGGGGGCAGGGGTGCACCCGCCCTCACCAGACATCGGGGGTGGGGGGCCGGGGCAGGACGCAGGCGACCCCAGAGACACTGACCCTCCTGCGTGTTTTAGGAGGAGCGGTTGCGGCAGCGGAACACGGAGACAGAGGAGAGCCTGGCCAAGCGGCTGGCGGCCGCTCGGGTTGACCTGGAGAGCAGTGAGTGTGGGCCCTGGCCGCCGGGTGTCCCCCCGTCTCCTCAGCCAGCACGGGTTCCCCAGCAGCAGGGTCCCCGTGGAGGAGCCCCAGAGCCTGCACTGACCCTGTCCCCCCACTCCAGGCAAGGAGCAGGGCCTGTTTGACCTGGTCATTGTCAACGACAACCTGGACGTGGCCTATCGGGCCCTGGAGGAGGCTCTGGCCGAGGTGGGCTCGCAGGGGGCGGGACTCAGCCCTGTGTTGCACACGGGAGAGGGGGCTGGGCAGGCTGCGTGGCCGTCAGCCCGCACTGGATGAGACCCTCCTTCTCTGTCCACGGCAGGAAATCAAGAAGGCTCAGAGGACCAGCCGCTCCTGAGCAGGACCACCAGCTCTGTACTCCCTGCTGGGGACTGCGCTCACCTCAGCTAGCGCCCAGACTGCCGCGGCCAGAGGACCTTGGCTTCCCCTTCCCCCTCTGCCGTGGGAGCTGGGCCAGGGTGTAATAAAGAACTGCTGGGCAGCAGTGTCCGTGGGCCATGGCATCTTGTCCTGGGCAGGGCATTGGGGACGGGGCCGTGCACGCCTCCACAGTGGATCCCCGCTCCCGGCGGCCCCCAGACTCCCTGGACTCTACTTGCTGGGGCTTCCTTTGCCCCTTCTTCACACCAGGGAGACCCTTGGTTGCTGGCCGGGGGGGTCCCCTGCAGCTGGGCTGGGGCCCCGGTCGGCGTGGAGGAGCCTGCTGGACAACAGCTGCTTCTCCCACTGGCTCGTGGAGGTGCCATGAGGCCTTGTGTGGGGAGAAGGACCCGGAGCTCATCCTGCTGGAGCCCCCTCCCTTCCTGCTCGTCTCTGCCCTGGGCCGGGCTGGCTCAGGGACAGCCACTGCTGACCGGGAGGGAGGCCAAACCCCTGCATCGTGCTAAGTGCCGTCCTCTGCCTTGTGCATGGTCCCCCTGCGCCCGGTCCGGTCCCCGTGTTCCAGGGAGGACACTGGGGGGGGGGGGTCCAGAGAGGGGCTGTCCCTCAGCCCTGGTCCGTGCCCGGGCCATGCTCCGGTGGTGAGAGCCTGGCCTGGATGCAGACCGGCCACACCAGCCGGCAGAGGGTTACTGGGCATCCCCCCGCCCCCAGGCCAGAAGGCAGGTGAGGTGGGCCCAGACTAATGTGCGGAGGGAGGGGGCAAGTAGGGGAGGCCCCTTCCCTCTCTGGGCCCTGTCCAGCCCCAGGGACAATCGGGAATTCAGACCCCAGGCCTTGAGGGGAACAATGGAGCCCTTGAAGGCCCTCCCCCCCGCATTGTGCTTGGTGGTGAGAGGTGGCCCTGGGTCAGGCCCAGGACTCGGCCAGGCACACACCCTGCGAGGGCCAGTGTCCAGCCGGCTGGCAGGTGGAAGGGCTCAGGGACTCCCATTTCCTGGCCTGGAAAAGGTAGGGCACTGCCCAGGGGACCAGGCGTGGGCAGCCGTGTGGGGACAAAGGTCATGCACCCTGTCTGTGGGCCCAGGGTCTGGGGCTCAGGAGAGGCACTTGGGGGACACCAGGTACTGTGTCTGGTTGGACCATCCTCTGTTCTCAGGGGACAAAATGGCATGGTGGGGGAGGTGGGGCCCCAGGGCTGCTCAGGCCAGCTGGTGCGTGGGAAGGGAAGGGGGTGCACCGGGGACCTTCCCCAGCAGCTGGGGCTCCTCAGCTGTGCTGGTGCGGCCAGGCAGCTGCAGTGTGTCTGGAGGCTGGGCCTCAGACGGTTCCGGCCCTGTGGGAGGCTGGGGAGGCCTACCCCGCACACATGGGCAGACGCACCAGGGTGGGTACACCTGCGTGCCCAGCACACCGCTCCTGACCCGGCCTGGGGCTCCTTCCCGTAAGTCCTTGGGGGTGCCTGCTAGACCGCAGGTCCTCAGGTCTGGGCCCCAAGGGTTGCCAGGAGCAGACCAGACCCCTGTTGTCCAGGAGCGGCCCCCAGTGTGCCACAGATGTGAGTGGGCGGGCGGGAGGCCCCAGGCAGGGTGCCGGACGTGTGGGGCGTGGGGTCTGGACAGGGTGGCGGCACTTGGGGAGGGGTCAGGTGGGGCTTGGGCAGGGGTGGGGGCGTGGGGTCTGGACAGGGTGGCGGCACTTGGGGAGGGGTCAGGTGGGGCTTGGGCAGGGGTGGGGGCCCCTGCATGGTGGTGCTGTCACAGGTCCACGCCAGGGCTCCCGGGCTCCCTGCCACGGCAGCCCCAGGAACCGCCGCGACGCCCTCCCTAGACCTGGCCCCTGTGGGACGAGCGCGCTCACTGATGGACGCAGAGCGGGGCTGCAGGGTGGAGCGGTTTGCCAGCCTGGCCAACCTCCCCGGTTCGTCCTGCCCCTGCTGAGCACCCGTGTGGTGGGAGGGGGCTCGTGCGTGTGTGAGCGAGGGTGAGGGGGTGCGTCGCACACACGTGCGAGTGCCGGGGTCTGTACGTGGACCCTGTGAGGGTGGGGGCTCCCTGGGGCAGAACCCACAGGCTGAGTGTGGACCAGGAGGGGGCTGGAGAGGGGAGGCAGTGGGGAGCCTGGGGGCAGCCCCTGTCCACCGAGCGGGAGACCGGTGTGCTCCGGAGCTGCGCGGGGTAGATGGCTGTGGCAGGGCGCCCTCCACACCTGGGGCTGGAGGACTGGGCCGCCTCTGCTCTGGGCCAGGTGGTCCAGGTGGAGTCTGACTGAGGCCCCCAGGAGGGCGGTCCAGGGGCCCGGGGAGGGACATGGGACACCCGTAGAGCCAACAGAGGGAGACAATGGGGGAGTCCCGTGGCCGGGTCAGGCCCTGGGCTCTGAGCTCTCGAAGTTCGGGCCCAAGCTGACCCTGGGGTGCTTGTAGGCGCTCGCGTGTGGATGAGGGGCCACCCAGTGCTGGGCGTGCTTAGGAAGGGTAAGAGGCTTCCTCAGGTGCTAGGTTCTGCCAGAGAACCTACGGTGCCCCGAGGTTCCCGGGGCAGGGTCCCTTGCAGATTTGGTGAGCTGAGCATTCTGGGGGGGCCTGCCTGGCAGCCCCACCTCAGTGGGAGGAAGCTCCGCCTGCCCTGGAGGGGCTCCTGGGAGGAAGCCGGGCCAGGGATGGGAAGGAAATGGCTGGGCAGGCCCTGGTCCTCACCCCCTACACACCCCCTCCGCTCCCAGGACCTTTGTTCAGACCCCTGCAGGGGTGAGAGGAGCTCAAGTGCAGAGCCCACTCATGGATGCAGGCCATCCTGCTGCCTGCCAGAGCCCACCACCCTCCTCCCGGCAGTCTGGTCGGCCCCGAGGCCCTGGCTTGCCCCTCCCGGATCCTGGATCCCACTGAGAGCAATCTCACCCACACTTGCTCTGACCGAGCTTTGGGGGAGTGCCATCTGAACGGAGCTAAGGTCCCTGCAAACTAGCACCCCTACCCCCACCCCACCCCCACCCGACGGCCGAGCCCCACTGGCCTCCTCCTGGCAGCACTGGACAGCCTTGGGTCAGCCCTTCACCCCTCCTCGGGGCCAGGGTCCTCCCTGGGGCCTGCGGCTCAGCAAGAGTCATCAGCCAAAGTCCCTGCGCTGTGTTGCAGCCCCCAGAGAAGTACCTGCCAGACAGGAGGACTCCCGTGATGGGGCAGGGAAGCCACCCCCAGCTCCCCAGCAGCGCTCGTGCCATCATCAGGGCACCTTCTCAGGAACAAAAGCCCACACTTGCTCAGTCCTCCTGCACCCCTGCGTTGTCCTGTCCTGGAGCCCTTCCACCCCAGACATCGCTGTTTATCCTCACAACTCCTCCAGGTGCCCCAGGGACCCAGCTGGACTGAGGGTGCCCCCAGGGTCTCCTTGTCCACTCTCCTGTCCCTGTCCTCCGCTCACCTGTGTTGACCCCCTTGGCTGTGCTGATGTCAGGTACCCGTGGAGCGAGGAGTCTCCGATAACGCTTTCCTGCGGTGTCCCCATTGCCGGGGTGCGGGTGGTTGTGCTCCAAGCCAGCTTTCTCACCAGCCTAGGGACTTCTGTTTTCTTAGGATTTCATTTATTTATTTGACAGAGAGAGAGAGCACAAGTAGGCAGAGAGAGAGGGAGAAGCAGGCTCCCCTCAGAGCAGGGAGCCCAACACAGGCCTCAATCCCAGGACCCCGGGGTCAAAGGCAAAGGCAGACGCCCAAGTGGCTGAGCCCCCCAGCCGCCCCTAGGCTGGGACTTCTGCCAGCCTGGACGCTCCCTCCTTGGTGCGCGGCTTTCTGGAGGGGCCGTCCTGAGGAGCCGGGAGCTGTGTGGTGGGGGCTGCGTACACTCTTTAGGGTTCCCTTTCCTTCCACTTTCATTCATTTAATCGCGTATATCAGTATGGATTCATTTAGTTTACACTTTGGGTCGGACTCTGTAACCCAGTCTGTAATACTGTATTACTCCACTATTCCCCAAATAGACGTGGCTTCAGACACAGGGCGCTTCTGCGGTACGCTGCCATGTCCCTCACTGTGGGCACGCGTGTGTGTGCACGTACCTGCCTGTGTGGGTGCGCGTGTGTCGGGACGTGGAGGGCGTGTGTGTGCATGTGCAGGGGCTGAGTGAGGGCGTGGGCACGCGTTTGCACACGTGTGCGTGAGAGCGTGTGTGGGCGCCCCAAGTGTGCGCACGCGCGTGCTTCTGTGCATTGCCGCGCGCCGGCGTGTGCGCGCGGGCTTGCACTTCCTTGCTCTCCGGCACAAGCACGCTCGGGCCTGTTCCCTCCCCCCACCATGGCACGAGCAGCTCCTCCACAAGCTCACGGTCCTTTACTGAGAGTGGCACCACGGTGCATGTGTTCCTTGCGATGGATGTTTTCGCATGGCCACCCTTTTAGCTGCTGGGCAAGGGACTATGCGTGTGTACAAACCCATGTACGCGCACGTGATCGTGACATTCCCTGGGGAGCCCTCCTGTCTTGTTCAGCTGAACGCGAGTCCAGACCGGATCTCCGACGCTACCCCACAGCTATGTGGGGCATTCCAGTCCCTCCTCTTCCCTGGCGGGTCTATGGCCCCCAGGTAGTGAGAACCCCCAGGCAGTGACAAATAAAGCTAATAGGGGACAGCGCTGCGGTCCCAGCCTCTGAGGCAGGTGGAGGAAGGGCGGGGCATGGGGTGTGGGCGGGGCGTGTACGGGGCGGGGCATGTGCAGAGTGGGCCAGGGCGTGGCGTGCAGAGGGTGGGCGGCCACGGACACGTATGGGCGCGTGTGCAGGGCAGGCCTGGCATGTGGGGTCGTGTTCGGGGTGGGGCGTGGAGGGGTGGGTGTGGGCAGGCATGGATCGGTGTCGGGGCGTGTGCAAGGTGAGCCAGGGCATGGAGCGTAGGACGTGGACGCGGTGTGGACGTGTGTGGGCGCATGAGTGTGTGCAGGGTAGGATGTGTGCAAGGTGTGAGTGCGGCAAGGACGTGGGCAGGGGTGCGGGTGGAGCGTGGGTGTGTGCAAGTGTGCATGGGTGTGTGAGGGGTGGGTATACTGGGGGCGGGGCCTTGGTCCCGTCGCCATGTGGTCTCGACCTGGGGGTGGACGGTACCTGGTGATGGACCAGGTATGCTTGGCTGTTACTACTGCAAAGTCTTGGGAGTCCCAGGAGCGGGGTCAATGGGCTTCCTAAGGTGACCGGTGAGCTAGGCTCTCAGGGAGCAAGACAGAGCCTGGCAAAGTTGCTCCCAAGGTTTGCTGATGGTGCGCAGGGGTGCAGGACAGAAAGCCGTCCAGGATAAGGCCTGGGGTTTGCCATTCCTGCCTGCATCCGCCTGGCCACGTCAGGAGGCATCTTGGGCCTTGGATTTGGAGGACCCTCCCGCATGGGACTGAGGCCAGAGCTGGTCAGTGCAGCCTCCTGAGCGCGGAATGACCCTGGCGTCACTGGGTGCGTGACATAGGCCCTGCACACACATACACGCAGCACTGGGCGTGGCCCTCATCTGAAGAGCCAGAGGGTGGTGCCACCTGTGAGTCTGCCCCCACCCAAAGGCAGTCCGACTCCCCAGCTGTGCTCCCTCCAACTCCTGCTGTCCAGACTGTCCGCCCCCCCAGCTGAGGGCCTGCGGAGCCAGCTCTGAGATGCCCTCTCTCCCTGACACGTCTCATCTCTTCGCCTCCGACCCTCCGGCTGGCCCCCAGGGCAAAGCGCTACTTCTCACACCTCAGGGCAGGGTCTGCCCCAGCGCACAGCTGGAGCTAGTCTGAAGAGCCCCCTCTGGGGGTCTCCTCAAGCTGGCCATGGGCGTGCTGGGGACATGGTCACCCCAGGAATTAGCAAACACTACAGCAAGGCTCCCACACATACCTAGACCACACACTGGGGCTCTTCCTCTCCTCGCTTCTCTGGGGGTCTCCGTCTTGGGAGGAAGAGAGGAGCTGGGGGCCCTCCTGCCACCCCTCTTCTGGGTTCCTGTGGAGGTGGGACTGTCAGGTCAGGGGCGGGGACAGATCCTGGACGAGTGGGGGTTAGAACCCAGGGAAAACAGCCAGCCTGGCGGGTGAGGCGGGGGGGGGGGGGGCCCCTGGCGTGCGGCCCTGCCTGAGGGGAGGGCTGGGCGTGTCCATCGGTGTGTAAGCGTGCACGTGTAGCCGACTGTGTGCACCAGCACAGGCGTTGGTAAATGTGTGCAGATAGGAGTGTGCGTGTCTCGGTGTGTGGACATCTGTGCATCAGATTATTAGTGTGTGTGCACACGAGCATGTGTCTGGGCTCGTGTGTGCAGCTGTATGCACGTGGGCGTCTGTGTGCACTTGAGGGCTTGTGCGCGTGTGGCTCTGAGAGGGGCACTGCACACAGATGTGAGGAAGAAGGGTCACTTCCCCAGGAACCCCAGCTGCCCCCTCTTCCTGCCCCCACCCAAGGGGAGAGGCCCCAGCTGCATAAAGAGGAGCTTCCCTGGAGCCCCCGCCTGCCTCCGCTGCCTCCAGGCCCAGAGGGAGGGGGCCAGAAGCGGCAGGCACTCAGGGGTCTCCCGTGCCCAAACTACCCCGAAGCAGGTACCGGCCTCGGTCACGAAGGAGGGAGGGTGGGCGGGCACCGGGGGGGGGGGTCTACAGCCCCTCTCCCCTTCCTGGAGACACAAGACAATGAATGGCGGCATCATGGTCTCCTGGGCACAGGCCCACCTGGGGGTCAGCACTGCTCTGGGAGGCGGTGAGTGGCCCCGTGGCTGTCTCCGAGTGTCACGGATGCCCTAATGTCTGTGTGCCTTGCTGGACCAGTCCCCGTCCTGGACAGAGGCCTGGCCTCACTCGGCTTCCCAGCGGGGCTGTCCTGGCTACAAGACTGCCGAGGACAGGGTGGTGGTGGCAGGACGGGAGGGGGAAGCAGCCTAGAAGGACTGTGGGCCAGGACGGTCCCTTGAGGAAGGAGTCTGGGGGTCCTTTGTGGAGAGGGAGGAAGCAGAGGCTCAGGGTAGGGTGTGGACAGGGAAGTGGGGAGGGGTGTGGCGCTGCGGGAGACTGGGGACCGACGGGGCTCCAAGGGCTGGGGCTGGGCGCCTGGAGGGTTACGGGATGCTGGGAGCCTTGAGACCCTCTCCAGTGGCCTGGACCCTGCCTGAGTGTGGGGGGGGGCATAAGTCTGGGCTGAGGCTCCACAGCCCCCAGATCCTGAGTGGGGCTGGCCTTGCTCTCCCTTGTCGGCTCTCAGGGCCTGGGCTGGGGTCCCCAGGGCTAGGGAAGGGCCACAGCTTGCAAGGGGCCGGGCTTTCCGGGGGTGGGGAGGGTATGGGGGCGAGCCAGGGCTGCGGCTCAGCCGCTGCCAGTATCCATCCCGCAGGCGGGGTCGGGACCGAGGGTGGGCACGGCGCTCCTGGAAGGGCTGCCCCTTTCGCTGAAGGTGGTGAGCCCCCCGCAGGCAGGGTCCCTGGCTCCAGGCGCCCCGAGATCCGCTCTCCGTCCCCCAATGCTCCCGTGACTCCCGGCCCGGAGAGTGCTCCTCCCGGTCCGCTGGTCCTGTCTCCTCCTCCCCACCCCTGCCCCGGGTTGAGCTCCGCTCCCGGCCCCCGCAGGTCCCGCCCCCCGCCCCTATGACCAACATGAGCTGGAGCTTCCTGACGCGGCTGCTGGAGGAGATCCACAACCACTCCACGTTCGTGGGCAAGGTGTGGCTCACCGTGCTGGTGGTCTTCCGCATCGTGCTCACGGCCGTGGGCGGAGAGTCCATCTACTCGGACGAGCAGACCAAGTTCACGTGCAACACGCGGCAGCCGGGCTGCGACAACGTTTGTTACGACGCCTTCGCGCCCCTGTCCCACGTGCGCTTCTGGGTCTTCCAGATCGTCGTCATTTCCACGCCCTCCGTCATGTACCTGGGCTACGCGGTGCACCGCCTGGCCCGCGCCTCGGAGGAGGAGCGCCGCCGCGGCCCCCGCCGCCGCCCCGGCCCCGGCCGCCGCCCGGCCCGCGCGCCCCTGCCGCTGCCCCCGCCGCCGCACCCCGGCTGGCCCGAGCCCGCCGGCCTGGGCGAGGAGGAGCCCATGCTGGGCCCGGCCGAGGAGGAGGACGAGGAGTCGGCGGTGGCCGACGGCCCGGGCGAGGAGGCCGAGGCCGAGGACGCGGGCGCGGCCAAGAGCGCGGGCGGGGACGGCAAGGCGGCGGGGGCCCCGGGTCCCTCCGCGCAGCACGACGGGCGACGGCGCATCCAGCGCGAGGGCCTGATGCGCGTGTACGTGGCGCAGCTGGTGGCGCGGGCCGCCTTCGAGGTGGCCTTCCTCGTGGGCCAGTACCTGCTGTACGGTTTCGAGGTGCGGCCCTTCTTCCGCTGCAGCCGCCAGCCCTGCCCGCACGTGGTCGACTGCTTCGTGTCGCGGCCCACAGAGAAGACCGTCTTCCTGCTGGTCATGTACGTGGTCAGCTGCCTCTGCCTACTGCTCAACCTCTGCGAGATGGCGCACCTGGGCCTGGGCAGCGCGCAGGACGCGG